AATATAGTCTGTCAGAAAAAATATACAATGCCCTTTTCTACATTCTTTTGTAGTGTACACACCATCTCAATATTCTGTCTCATGTAAAATATCAAAATTCAAACTGTACGCGAATGGAAAATCATATAAATATTACCTATGTACCCCAATGTTAAAAGCAAAATTGCTCTAAATATAATCTGTAGAAAAAATATACAATGCCCTTTTCTACTCTGTTTTGGAGTATATACACCAACTCAATATGCTCTTTTATGTAAAATATTGAAATTCAAAATATATGCAGTTACAAACAAATATAAATATTATCTATGTAACCCAATGTTAAAAGCAAAATGCTCTGAAGATAATCTGTTAGAAAAAATATAGAATACCCTTTTCTACATTCTTTTGGAGTATATACACCATCTCAATATTCTCTCTCATGTAAAATACCGAAATTCTTATTTTACGCGAATAGATAAAAATATAAATATTATCTATGTACCCCAATGTTAAAAGCAAAATTTCTCTTAATATGTTAGAAAAAATATACAATGCCCTATTCTACTCTGTTTTAAAGTATATAAACCAACTCAATATGCTCTCTCATGTAAAATATTGAAATTCTAAATTTACGTGGTTCCAAAAAAATATAAATATTATCTGTGTACCCCAATGTTAACAGCAAAATTGCTCTGAATATATTCTGTTAGAAAAAATATGCAATGCCCGTTTCTACTCGGTTTGGGAGTATATACACCATCTCAACATGCTCTCTCATTTAAAATACCGAAATTCTAATTTTACGCGGTTACAAAAAAATATAAATATTATGTATGTACCCCAATGATAAAAGCAAAATTGCTCTGAAGGTAATCTGTTAGAAAAAATTTAAAATGTCTTTTTCTATATACTTTTGGAGTATATACACCATCTCAATATTCTGTCTCATGTAAAATATAAAAATTCTAAATGTACCTGAATAGAAAAGAATATAAATATTATCTATGTACCCCAATGATAAAAGCAAAATTGCTCTTAATATAATCTGTCCGAGAAAATATACAATGCCCTTTTCTACTGTTTTTTGAAGTATATACACCAACTCGATATGCTCTCTCATGTAAAATATTGAAATTCTAAATTTACGCGGTTACAAAAAAATACAATTATACTCTATGTACCTTAATATTAAAAGCAAAATTGCTCTGAAGATAATCTGTTAGAAAAAATATACAATGCCCTTTTCTACTCTCTTTTGGAGTATATACAGCACCTCAATATGCTCTCGCATGTAAAATATTGAAATTCTAAATTTACGCAGTTACAAAAAATATAAATATTATCTATGTACCCCAATGTTAAAAGCAAAATGCTCTGAAAATAATCTGTTAGAAATAATATACAATGCCCTTTTCTACATTGTTTTTGAGAATATACACCATCTTAATATTCTCTCTCATGTAAAATACTGAAATTCTAATGTTACGCTAATAGATAAAAATAAATATTATCAATGTACCCCAATGTTAAAGCAAAATGGTCTAAAGATAATCTGTTAGAAAAAATATACAATGCCCTTTTCTGCATGTTTTTGGAGTATATACACCATCTCAATATTCTCTCTCATGTAAAAAACAAATTCTAATTTTACGCGAATAGATAAAAATATAAATTTTATCTATATACCCCAATGTTAAAAGCAAAATTTCCCTGAATATAATCTGTCAGAAAAAATATACAATGCCCTTTTATACTCTGTTTTGAAGTATATACACCAACTCAATATGCTCTCTCATGCAAAATACCGAAATTCTAATTTTACATGAATAGATAAAAATAAAATATTATCTATGTACACCAATGTTAAAAGTAAAATTGCTCTGAAGATAATCTGTTAGAAAAAATATACAATGCGTTTTTCTACTCTCTTTGGGAGTATATATGCCATCTCAATATGCTCTCTCATGTAAAATACTGAAATTCTAAATTGACGCGGATACAAAAAAATATAAATATTATCTATGTACCCCAATGTTAACAGTAAAACGCTCTGAAAATAATGCGTTAGAAATAATATACAATGCTCTTTTATACATTTTTTTGGAGTATATATACCATCTCAATATTCTCTCTCATGTAAAATACCAAAATTCTAATTTTACGTGAATAGATAAAAATATAAATATTATCTACATACCCAAATGTTAAAAGCAAAACTGCTCTGAAAATAATCTGTTAGAGAAAATATACAATGCCCTTTTCTACTCTGTTTTGGAGTGTATACACCAACTCAATATGCTCTCTCATGTAAAATATTGAAATTCTTAATTTACACGGTTACAAAAAAATATAAATATGTATTTACCCCAATGTTAATAGCAAAATTTCTCTGAAGATAATGTTAAAAGAAATATAAAATGCCTTTTTCTACATACTTTTGGAGTATACACACCATCTCAATATTCTGTTTCACGTAAAATATCAAAATTCAAATTGTACGCGAATAGATAAAAATATAAATATTATCTATGTACCCCAATGTTAAAAGCAAAATTGCTCTGAATATAATCTGTCAGAAAAAATATACAATGCCCTTTTCTACTCTGTTTTGGAGTATATACACCAACTCAATATGCTCTCTCATGTAAAATATTGAAATTCTAAATATATGCGGTTACAAAAAAATATAAATATTATCTATGTACCCCAATGTTAAAAGCAAAATTGCTATGAAGATAATATGTTAGAAAAAATATACAATGCCCTTTTCTCCTCTCTTTTTGGAGTATATACACCATGTCAATATGCTGTCTCATGTAAAATATTGAAATTCTAAATTTACGTGTTTAAAAAAATGTAAATATTATCCATGTATCCCAATGTTAAAAGCAAAATGCTCTGAAGATAATCTGTTAGAAAAAATATGCAATGCCCTTTTCTACATTCTTTTGGAGTATATACACGATCTCAATATTCTCTCTCATGTAAAATACCGAAATTCTAATTTTACGCGAATAGATAAAAATATAAATATTACACATGTACTCCAATTTTAAAAGCAAAATTTCTCTGAATATAATCTGTTAGAAAAAATATACAATGCCCTTTTTGACTATTTTTTGTTCTATATAAACCAACTCAATATGCTCTCTCAGGTAAAATACCGAAATTCTAAATTTATGTGAATAGAAAAAAATTTAAATATTATCTAGGTACCGCAATGTTAAAAGCAAAATTGCTCTGAATATAATCTGTCAAAAAAAATATACAATGCCCTTTTCTACTCTGTTTTGGAGTATATACACCAACTCAATATGCTCTCTCATGTAAAAAATTGAAATTCTAAATTTACTCCGTTACAAATAAATATAAATATTATTTATGTACCCCAATGTTAAAAGAAAAATTGCTCTGAAGATAATCTGTTAGACAATATATACCATGCCCTATTCTACTATCTTTTGGAGTATATACACCATCTCAATAAGCTCTCTCATGTAAAATACAGAAATTCTAAATGTACGCGGTTACCAAAAAGAAAATAAACTTTATGTACCCCAATGTTAAGAGCAAAATTCTCTGAAGATAATCTGTTTAAAAAAATACAATGCCATTTTCTACATTATTTTGGAGTATATACATTATCTCAATATTCTCTCTCATGTAAAATACCGAAATTCTATATTTACGTGAGTAGATAAAAATATAAATATTATCTATGTACCCCAAAGTTAAAAGCAATATTGCTCTGAATATAATCTGTCAGAAAATATATACAATGCCTTTTTCTACTACTTTTTGGAGTATATACACCAACTCAATATGCTCTCTCATGTAAAATTCCGAAATTCTAATTTTACGCTAAAAGAAAATAATATAATATTATCTAGGTACGCCAATGTTAAAAGCAAAATTGCTCTGAATATAATCTGTCAGAAAAAATATACAATGCCCTTTTCTACTATTTGTTGGAGTATATACACCAACACAATATGCTCTCTCATGTAAAGTATTGAAATTATAAATTTACGCGAATAGAAAAAAATATAAATATTATCTACGTACCCCAGTGTTAAAAGCGAAATTTCTCTGAATATAATCTGTCAGAAAATATATACAATGCTTTTTTTCTACTCTGTTTTAGTGTATATACACCAACACAATATGCTCTCTCATGTAAAATACCGAAATTCTAATTTTACGCGAATAGAAAAAATTATAATTATCTAGGTACCCCAATGTTAAAAGCAAAATTGCTCTGAATATAATCTGTCAGACAAAATATACAATGCTTTTTTCTACTTTTTTTGGAGTATATACACCAACTCAATATGCTCTCTCATGTAAAATACCGAAATTCTAATTATACGCGAATAGAAAAATTATAAATATTATCTAGGTACTCAAATATTAAAAGCAAAATTGCTCTGAATATAATCTGTCAGAAAAAATATACAATGCCCTTTTCTACTATTTTTTGGAGTATTTACACTAACTCAATATTCTCTCTCATGTAAAATACCGAAATTCTAACTTTACGCGAATAGAAAAAAATATAAATATTATCTAGGTACCCCAATGTTAAAAGCAAAATTGCTCTGAATATAATCTGTCAGAAAAAATATACAATGCCCTTTTCTACTATTTTTTGGAGTATTTATTTATTTATTTTTATTTTTTTTTTCCCCATGTGGAAATAATATGATATATTTATTAGATATACTAGACAAGAACAGAACTAAGTACTCCAACTCTACTGCAGCATTACAAAAAAATCATCCCTTCACCACAGTGTAAGATTTAAGGACAACCTGCCCAAGGATGCACGTTATATAAAACACAGCAAGATTGCTGCTGCCCTGCCAAATACTTCCAGTCTCTACCCAGGTCCTACTGAGATACTGGTGGTCCCAATTAGTTTTATCGAAATAAATCTTTAAAGAAAAAGATGAAGCATTTAAAAAGACAAGTCAAAATACTTCAGGAACCACATATCCAACACAAACTTTATCCTGAAATGAGTTATGTTTGCCTTGCACTAATAAACTTTTATTTCACTCGAATTAGAGAAAAAATCTTCTATACATTAAGAATCTTCCCTGCCCAATAATTCAAAGAAAAAAATGCAAAATGATTAGTAAAGAAAAATATAAGAATTAACAGACTCTTTAAATTTGTTTTAAATATTTTTAAAGTTAAAAAGTGTTTAAAGTTTGTAATTCCTAGTAGGAAAACATTAACTGAATGAATACCCTAATGGCAAACCACTGTAAAATGCTTCAGCTGCATTTGGGGGAGGAATAGGGATTATCTTCAAAGCACCCCAGCTCTCCTGATGAGAGGGTCAGAGGTACACTGGTTTGTATTATTGCGACATCCATAAGGTGATCTAGGTTGCTTTTCCTTCAGCAAAGGCTTTATTTATCAGAAGGGCATTATGCTTGACCTCCAAATTTGGCTGACAATTTGCTGATAAGATTCATAACCTTTGGGTTGCTCTGGTATTTTGACATATTTGCTGGGTTCTGAGCCACATCCTGGAAGGCCACCATAACTTCTGGATCCTGCATGGCTGCAAGAACCTCTGGATCACTAAGAATTTCATTGAGTCCAGGCATTCCGGCCATTCCAGGCATGCCCCCTCCCATTCCAGGCATTCCTCCAGGAAAACCACCAGGCATTCCCCCAGGAAAGCCACCTGGAAAAGAGCCATACTGAGCTCCTGACTGTCGTCTGGCTTCTTCCTCCCTCTGGGCTCTCTCATGCTCTTCTCGAGCCTTCTTAACTCTTTCTATTCTTTCTTTGATCTCTCGCTCTTCACGTTTTCGCTCATACTTTCTCCGATGTTCTGCAATTTTCTGTGCCCTAGGTTGAACTTCTTTCAGCATTGCACTCGCATCTTCATCATAATCCAATTTACAGGCAAGGGCAAGATCATGGGCTGCTGCTTCCCAGTGGCCTAGAAGTCTGTGTGCTTTCCCTCGCCACTTGTAAGGTTGAGCTGAATCAGGATTTATTTCAATGGCTCTGTCACAGTCTCGGATGGCAGCATTTGGCTTCTGTAATTTGACGAAGACACTGGCCCTCTTGGCATATAAAATGGCCAAGCGAGGATTCAGCTTGATGGCATCTGTGAATAAGTCAATGGCTTTCTGCAATTCACCATCATTTAGGGCTTCAATAGCAGCCACTTTCTTATCATTTGCCTGATCCATCATCTCCTCTGTTATCTCTGCATTTTCATCTCCCATTTCTTGAGGGGTGTCAGTGTCTGGTTCAATCACACCTTCATTATCAATTTCTAAATCACTTTCCTCACTTGATGGTTCGTCTGTCTTTAAGTCTTCCTCTACCTTCTTACTATCAGGTTTTTCTTCCTTGGTATTTTCTTCTGATTTAGCTTTCTGAGTAGCAGGTGGTATTTTACCCCCCATACTCTCCACCCACTCCCTCAGGAAGCGCATTTCCTCGGTATGCAGAACGCTTGGATCCTGCTTACACATCTTCACAAAGGCCTGAAGCTCGTTCACTTTGCAGGGGTCCATGGTAGGGAAGCGGTGGGCGAAGCTGAGGGTCTGCGGCCCGCTTCCAGGCCGAGGCGCTGGCTCGGCGTGACCGCGCAGAGGGGGCTGGAGTATTTATACTAACTCAATATTCTCTCTCATGTAAAATACCGAAATTCTAATTTTACGCGAATAGAAAAAAATATAAATATTATCTAGGAACCCCAATGTTCAATGCAAAATTGCTCTATATGTAGTCTGTCAGAAATAATATACAATGCTTTTTTCTACTACTTTTTGGAGTATATACACCAACTGAATATGCTCTCTCATATAAAATACTGATATTCGAAATTTACATGAATAGAAAAAAATATAAATATTATCTAGGTACCCCAATGTTAAAAGCAAAATTGCTCTGAATATAATCTGTCAGAAAAAATATACAATGCCTTTTTCTACTTTGTTTTGGAGTATATACACCAACTCATTATGCTCTGTCATGTAAAATACCGAAATTCTAATTTTACACGAAAAAAAAAATATAAATATTATCTAGGTACCCCAATGTCAAAAGGAAAATTGCTCTGAACATAATATGTCAGAAAAAATATACAATGCCCTTTTCTACTCTGTTTTGGGGTATATAAACCAACTCAATATGCTCTCTCATGGAAAATATTGCAATTCTAAATTTACGCCGTTACAAAAAAATATAAATATTATCTTTGTACCCAATGTTAAAAGCAAAATTGCTCTGAATATAATCTGTTTAAAAATATATACAATGCCCCTTTCTACTTTATTTTGGAGTGTATACATCATCTTAATATGCTCTCTCATGTAAAATATTGAAATTCTAAATGTACATTGTTACAAAAAAGTATAAATATTATCTATGTTCCCCAATGTTAAAAGAAAAATGCTCTGAAGATAATCTGTTAGAAAAAATATACAATGCCCTTTTCTACATTCTTTTGGAGTATATACACCATCTCAATATTCTCTCCCATGTAAAATACCGTAATTTTAATTTTACGCGAATAGATAAAAATATAAATATAATCTATGTACCCCAATGTTAAAAGTAAAATTGCTCTGAATATAATCTGTCAGAAAAAATAATCAATGCCCTTTTTTACTCTGTTTTGGAGTATATACACCAACTCAATATGCTCTCTCATGTAAAATACCGAAATTCTAATTTTACGCGAATAGAAAAAAATATAAATATTATCTAGGTACCTCAATGTTAAAAGCAAAATTTCTCTGAATATAATCTGTCAGAAAAAATATACAATGCCCCTTTCTACCCTGTTTTGGAGTATATACACCAACTCAGTATGCTCTCTCATGTAAAATACCGAAATTCTAATTTTACGCGAATTGAAAAAATTATAAATATTATCTAGGTACCCCAATGTTAAAAGCAAAATTGCTTTGAAGATTATCTGTTAGAAAAAATATACAATGCCCTTTTCTACCTTTTTTTGGGGTATATACACCATCTCAATATGCTTTCTCATGTAAAATATTGAAATTCTAAATTTACGCGTTTACAAATATATATAAATATTATCTATGTACCCCAATGTTAAAAGCAAAATGCTTTGAAGATAATCTTTTAGAAAAAATATTCAATGCCCTCTTGTACTCTCTTTTTGAGTATATGCACCATCTCAATAATCTGTCTCATATGAAATACCGAAATTCTCACTTTACACGGTTAGAAAAAATATAAATATTCTCTTTGTATCCCAGTGGTAAAAACAAAATTGCTCTGGAGATACTGTGTTAGAAAAAATATACAATGCTCTTTTCTACTTTCTTTTCGAGTATATACACCATCTCATTTAGATTCATATTATGTATTACCTTTGCATTGTAATTTTATAAGCTGTTATGATTATTTGATATTGTTCTGGTGTTTGAATAAATGTACATATTGTACACATTTTCTACATATCTATTGTGTACACTTTGTATACATATAATTGTTTATATTTTATAGATTGGGTAAATTTATTGTACATCTGTATTGTGTACACATATTCCCATCACAGTCAATTTACATGTGGTACATATTCTGTTAATTGCTTGTAATATACCAATAAGTGTACACATCATGGGTATATTCTGCGATATGATTTTTTGTATATTAAAGTTTCTTTTAATATCAAAGTCGGTATACACATATGTGTGTCCATTTCGTAATATTATCCATCATATTCTAAGTAGGTATTACTCTCATTGTGCTAGGAAGTGTACACTCTGCGATTGTTCTAATATCACAGGCAAAGTAAAATGCTTCTGTGGTGTAGTTAATCATGCCCGAGGGACAAAGGATTAACATACACTGAATATCGAAGGCAGTATACACCACCACTATAGTATCGTTTCAAATATTCAAACACTTAAAAGATATCACTCCAAATATCTCAGAGAGAGCACAAGCCCCGCGTGATATTGTTCCTAATAACTAGGGGATTATAGATGACATTACTCACGATGTGACTGGGGTTGAACGCGGTCCTGGATATTGTTCCTAACATCCAGAGGAGGAGAGGAAACTTTTGCTACTTATAGGGAAGTACTCTGAATATGGCAAGAGGTGTACACCATGCTCTGATAGTGTCACTAATGTAAATAAGAATACAATTATATTGAATTAAACATAGCAAGGGGTGAACCCCCCCATGCTTTCAATTCTAATGTCAAGGGATGTGAGGATGACATTTTTGTCAATATAGCAGAGGTGTAATTATAGCTACTGCCTAATAAATAGTAAAACAGAATAACATTATTATTTCTGTATGATATGGTCGCCAGTATCATATGAAACCACATTTTCAAAATAGCTGGACCCCAGCAGCTGTAGGCATAGCCACCAAGCGATGGGGTCCCAAAGCAACCAGGGTGTGCCTGGGGCCAGCTATGGGCTTGTTGGTGGGGGCTGTGGGCACAGTGCTCTCTCCAGGGTGTCCCTAAGCAGCCATTCTGGGCCACTGGGCTGCTACGGGCACTCTGGAAGAGGCTGTAAGTACAGCCACATACCGAGGGTGTTTCTAAGCAGCCCTGGTGCACCTGGGGTCTACTTTGGGCCCTCTGGTAGGGGCTCTGGGCACAGTCACCTTGTTAGTGTGTCCCTAAACTGCAGGGTTGGCCTGGGGTTGCTACGTGCTCTCTGGCAGAACGTTGGACAAAGCCCTTAAGCCAGGGTGTCCCTAAGGTGTCAGGGTGGGCTAGGGGGTTGCTACAGTACCTCCGGTGGGGCTGTGGGCACAGCTTTCTAGCCAGGGCATCCATAAGTAGCCAGGGTGAGCCTGGGAGCTGTTATGGGCTCTCTGGTGGGGGCTGTGGGTACAGCCTCATAGCCAGGGTGTCTTTAAGCAGCCAGAGGGGGTGTAGGGGAGGCTACGATGTGGGCTGTGGTAATAGCATGCTGTGCACAGGTACAGAGTTTGCACCTATATCTTCATGTGTACATAGTTTAAATAGTGAGCACATATTTGTACTCGTGTACTTATGATGTTAACATGATAAATCTGTATGTACACAATATGTGCAAAACACATACGTACCTAATGCATACCTAATGTGTGCAATATGTACTCTTTTGTGATACTACACGATATGTATATATTACTGTGATCATAATATCTTACTGTGATTATATATATTTTATTACTGATATTTCAAGGAATGTTCATAGTGCACAAATTATGTACCTATGCATGGTGTACACATTTTAGAAATATATAGGTACATATTTTACAGATTATGTACATTTTGGTATGTGTGTTGTGTACACATATGTACAGCAGAGTAAATGTACAGATTGTAACTCTTTTATACATTTATTGCAATATGCCAATAAATGTACACATTATGAGACAATCTGGGATATAAATTTTAGCATATTAGAAATTTCTCTGGTTACCAAAGTGGGTGTACACCCATGTGTGTTCATATTTTATACATGAACATATTGTGCATATTATATACTCATGTAAAGAATGTACATACTGTGCACACAATTGTACATCTGCATGTATTGTACATCTGTACATCATGGGTACACGATGTACATGTGTACATAATGGGTACCTGATTTGTGTACGTACTGGGTACATGATTTACATGTGAACATGTGTACATGATATTTATGTGTACATATCAAAATCTTACAATGAATAGAAATGTACATAATGCTTACAGTTTGTACATTTATATTCATATTATATATTACATGTGTTTTGTGATTTTATATGTTGTCATACGATGTCAATGTAATATTACAATAAATGAACATATTGTACACAATATGTACATACCTATTTAGTATACATTATGCACACATAAATGTACATTTTGTACAGATTATGTACTCTTATTGTTGATCTGTATTGTGTACAAATACATACAGCTGAATAAATGTATTTACTGTACCTATTTTAAACATTTTTTGTGATATGCCAATAAATTTACACATTATGAGTCCATTCTGGGATATAATTTTTAGCATATTAGAAATTACTCGTGACCAAAGGGGGTGTACATCTATGTGTGTACATACTTTATACGTGTACATATTGTGCATATAATGTACTCATGTACAGAATGTACACATCTACATTATATGTACATAGTGTGCACACATATGTACATGTGCATATATTGTACATCTCTACATAATGCATGCATGATGTACATGTGTACACATTGTCATATCACAATAAGTGTAAATGTACATGTTTGCAATATGTATGTTTATATTGATATTATGTATTATATTTTTGATTACATATGCTGTTGCTATATCATTGTGATATTACAATAAATGTATGTAAAGTATACATTATGTTCCTATGCATTGTGTACACATTATAGAAAGAGAGAGGAACATATTTGACAGATTTTGTACGTTTGTTCTACTTGTGTATTGGGTACTCATATGTACAGCAGAGTAAAAGTACAGACTGCACCTATTTTATACATTTATTGTGATATGTCAATAAATGAACACATTATGAGTACATTCTGGGATATTACTTTTAGCACATTTAATAGAAATTACTTCAGTTACCAAAGTTTGTGTACACGCATGTGTGTACATAGTTTACACCTGTACATACTGTGCAT